TGTGTGCACGAGTTGGTAACGATGTGTGCATGCACGGTTTGAGGTTAGTGCATAAAACTGAAATAGCGAAAGAGCAATTTAAAATAACTGAAGAGTACGGCTTGAAGTGAAAAACATGTACTATCTGGTATTTTTTTTAAAGGATTCAAAAATTACAAAAATGAATAGAATATGTCGTAAGCAACTGTTTAAAAGTGTAGACGCAAATTTCAAATATTTGCAACAACGTTCGGTCTTCCGGGAGCAGTAACTCCAAACCCCACCACACAGTTGACATTCGATAGCCGATGAAAGTTGTTATGAAACATTAGTACTTCACACCGATTGAGGTGTATGCGATCAAGCAGACGAGTGATTGCATATTACTAACTATGCGAGTACAGGAAAGCAGTATGTGTTTGGCGTATATAGGGCCTGTCATCGGTCGATGGGATAGCTACCTCAACATCTGGATTCTCTTCAGCATTGTTCCATGCTAATACCCAAGCTCAATGCACAATCACACAAAAAAGGTCCAAACACCTAAACATATCAAGAGAACAAAAAATGCAACTAAATGTTAAAGTAATATGCAACATATTCTAGTGCGCACTCACCCCATAACTATCATGCACACATCAAAACACGGTCATGACAATGACATGCACATAGAAAAATGTGGCAATGTACACCCACTACTACATAATTCACATGTAACGCCGGGCCTTTAACGTCAGCTATATACATAATCAATGTTAAAACATATAATGTCAGCTATTTACAAATAGCAGACGTTATAAATAAAAAGTAAAAAAAAAAAAAGTAAATACAATACGATGTCGACTATCTATATAGCCGACGTCGTAAGGTATTTTAGTTTTTTTTTTTAATATTTAATATACGACGTTATTATTTAAAAAAAAAAAAAAACTATTAACCTACGACGTCGGCTTTCTAAATAGCCGACGTCGTAGGGTTTTTAAATTACCCCAAAAGATATCTCCCACGGACGACGAGGTTTTTTAAATTACCCCAGAAGAGATCTCCCGCATACGACGACTCATTCGCAAGCTATTTCGCTCAGACGACTCACCACTCGCACAGCCATTTCGCACGTCGTTCAGCCACTGGTCCGCTCACCGCCACCGTTTTGCTCAGCCACCGCCCACTGGCACGCCGCCCTGCACAGCCACCGTTCCCCTTCGACGCCTTCTTCTTCCTCCGCTGCCCAGCTTCCGCCGCACCGCCGACTACATTGTGAGTTTGTTTTTTTTTTTAATTATTATTTCAATTTCTAGAATTATTATATATTCTGAATTATTTATTAATGTATTTCAAATTTTAGGAATTATTAGGTATATATTTTGAATTTTATAAGTTATTGGATATAAATTTGGAATTATTAAGTTGATATATTTGTATTTTAGGATTTATTGATATTATATTTCGAATTTTAGTAAATAATGTTGATATATTTGTATTTTAGGATTTATTGATATTATATTATGAATTATTATTAATTAATTTCAAATTTTAGTAAATAATATGTTTCCTTTTATTATTCAGTTGCATTAGAAACTATCGCACCCTGTTCTTGCAGATTATGGTTTTGACTATGTGAATGTTGGATGTAGGTAAGTAGGAAGATAGACTTGGTCTATGGTGGTGGAAGTATTGGTTTGATGGGTTTGATTTCCAAAAGTGTCTATGATGGAGGATGTCATGTTCTTGGGTAACTATCTATCTAACACCTTTTTGGAATTTTTACTCTTTGATTGTGCAGTGTTGGTAGAATTTCACTCAACTTTTACAGGGCATGAATTAAAATGTTACCACTTTCTATGGAAGAAAAAGAAAGGAATCAACTTGCATTTTTCGGTTGGTCTCCCTCACATCAATTTGGCCTTAGGAAATGATTTCATTGACAAAATATGCTCCAATTTCAGTTTCAGTACCTTGGTGAACATATCTAGTTACTTTTTATTACACCAGTTTTGTTGTCCTTTCTGCTCTTCCTTTATATTTATTTCTGGTCTTTGATATATTTAATTATGTATTTATTTATGGTATTGGCAGCTGAATCAGAAGTGATAGTAAGGCTGATATTTCCTTGCAGGTATAAATGGAACTCAACACAACAAAGATGTCTCAACCGGTGGTGTTCAAGCTGTGAAAGTTCAGCCTATTGCAGTCCTTGCATTACCAATTGATGACCTTAGGGAGATCTCAGATAATTTTGGGACTACTTCTTTAATAGGGGATGGTTCATATGGAAGAGTATATTATGGGGACCTCAAAAATGGGAGGGCTGCTGCAATTAAGAAGTTGGTGCATACAACCAGAAGATGAATTCTTGGCACAGGTGCTACTGAATAACTGGACCAATTTTTTACCTCATCGGATAATACAGCTAAGCACTTGATGTTTATAGGTGTTTATGGTTTCAAGGTTAAAACATGAAAATTTTATTGAACTACTTGGTTATTGTGTTGATGGAAATCGACGTGTATTTGCTTATGAATTTGCGTCAAATGGATCACTTCACGATATTCTTCATAGTATGACATAGCATTTCTGAATTGTTTTTCAGCATAGTTAATCTTGTCATTCTTCTCCTTGTGCTATTTTTTTGCCTTATGGACTTCCATGCAACACTATTGTTGAATTACTCTAGAGGAAATTCCCAACATTAAAGTTGTTCATATGATGCATGTCCAATTTAGTTTATTACATTTCCAACGTGTGGGTTTTTATTTTTTATTTTTAAAGCTTGAGCATACTTTTCTAGATTGGTTTTGTTGAATATCTACTAGAATGATATTCAACAGTGAAATTATGCCATTCATTTTGGGTTTTATTATTACGGAGTATTATTTTTTGGGTAGTTTAATTGTAAAAGAAACTATTAGCAAAATAGTACGTATAATTTACCCTTTATCATTTTCTATCATATTCACACTGTCTGAATATGTGAAGGAGTAGATTTTAATGTTTTTACTTGTATGTTTTAGGGAGGAAGGGAGTAAAAGGAGCTCAGCCTGGCCATCTGCTTTCCTAGGCCCAGCGAGTTAAAATTGCTGTAGGAGCAGCTAAGGGCCTTGAATATCTGCATGAAAAAAACTGAACTTGAACTTGTGCATCGAGATATCAAATCCAGCAATGTACTAATTTTTTATGAATATGTAGTTAAAATTGCTGACTTTGATTTATCCAATCAGTCTCCTAATATGGCAGCTCGTCTTCACTCAACTCGTGTCCTTGGGACATTTGGTTAACATGCTCCTGAGTAAGTTAATATGGTTCTCATACCTACTTTATGCATATTGCTTGTATTCTTCTCTCCCCTATGTACGCCAATGTTACAGTATGTAGGAAATATCAAACTATTAATCTTTGTGTCCTCTCCTGTTTTGAACTGATTACATCATTGGTATATGTTGAAGCATCATTAATTCTTATTTTTGTGAATTGGTAGATATGCAATGACTGGGCAGCTAAATTAAAAAAGTGACGTATATAATTTTGGTGTTGTCTTTCTTGAGCTGCTCACAGGACATAAACATGTTGATCATACCTTATCACGAGGCCAACAAAGTCTTGTTACATGCGTATTGTGCTCAACTCCAAAATATCTAAGTTTTTCTATTCATTTGGTTTTTCTAATTCTTTGCGACATTCTTTAGGCTACCCCAAAACTCAGTGAAGACAGGTTTACTAATGTGTTGATGCAAGATTGGGAGGAGAGTATCCCCCAAAGGCAGTTGTAAAGGTAAATGATGGAATTCATCATCCCATTTATGTATTTTTCATAAATATGAGTTGCAATGTGAAAAAAAAAAAAAAAAAAAAAAAAAAAAAAGGAAAGAAAGAGAGATCCTACTAGGCCATATTTAGATATCTGCTTATAGTTGCTTAGAATTGTGAATATTTTGGCAAAAATAAGTTGCATTTTGCTTGAAAATGTGTACAACAAGCGCTTTGTTTTCCTTAGATATCACTGCCCTATCCAGATTGAGAATGTATATTTAAAAAAATTCCATCTTAATCTTGAGCCAATGGGGAACTTGTTATTGGTTCACTCTCAGTGATTCTGGCACTAGGCAGGTGGATAGTTGGATTTTGATTGTATAAATTTTCAGTGGATTATAGTTTCAACACAAAAAGACAATGGGGAGAGGAGAAAACTAGGATGAAAATGTAACTGTTGAAGGTTTACCTTGCTTCTTCTATTGATTAGATTTTGATGTTCTTTCCTTGAAAGGTGGAGATAATTTCCATTTTTAGAATTTGAGTTCTATTGATCTATTGATCCGATTTATTTTACATTACTGTTTTTTGATATCCAAAATAATGAGTATGTAAAAGAGCTCCATGGCATGCATGTATTTTATTTTATGTTTGTGTTTAAGTTAGTGTCTAAAGTGGTACTAACTCTTGCTCACTTTAGTTCCTCAGTTTCTTTATATTCTAGTTGATTTTTATCTTTAAATATTCATTGCTATGCTCTGGAATCATTGGTGTACTTAGTGTATCTTTAAAAAGATTCTTTGTGCATGTAATTTCATGAGTATTTTAATTGCTACATTTTCTATTTGATTAAGTGAGATGAAGCTACTGAACTGGCTCATCTTTTTGACACTTTTGGCCAGATAATTCAAGGCCCCAAGGTAGCAAGGTGTAATGTGTATAGGAAAATCCTTTAGACAGAGATTATGGGCCCGTTTACTAACAGAAAATTATTCTCTGTTTTCAATTCTCTGTTTTCTATTCTCTGATTTCAATTCTCTGTTTTCAATTCTCTGTTTTCGAAAACTGAAATTGAAAACTTGTTTACCTGTACTTATTTTCGAAATGCATTCTCCATTTACTAAATTAAAAATGTACTACATACATATATTTATAAGTTATTTCGTGACAAATTAAAATGTCAATACAAAACATATTAATTGCAATAATTTAAAATAAGTTGTTTAGTGACGAAATGTGATTACAAAACATTGCAAATAAAATTGAGTACACCATCAATGATTATAATTTGCCCAGAGTGCATTTGCGATGTCCTCACGCAATTGTAGCATTTGGTCTTGTTGACTCATATCTAATTGTATGGTATCATTTCCACAACCACTACTACTTCTACCTTCATCGAAAACCATGTCTTGCGTTCCGTACATCATACTCAATTGATCATTCTTATCTTCCAACCGAATGAAATTATGTAATGCACAACATGCAAGAGGAATTTGTCTTTGCCTAATCAATGTGTAACCATTAATGGACTTTAGAATTGGGAATCTTGCCTTTAAAAGTCCAAAACACCGCTCAATCACATTCCGCAATGATGAGTGTCGATAATTAAATAGGGCTTGCTTATTTCGTATTCGTCCTTGCCCACGAAAGTCATTCAAGTGATAGCGCTCCCCGCGGTATGGTGCCAAAAAACAGGGTGCATTTGGGTAACCAGCATCAACAACGTAGTAATAACCTATACAATTGAGAAAAAAGAATATACTTAAAGAAGTACTAAATTACACTAAGTTAAATAATTGAAATTAATAGCTATTTGAATACTCTTACCTTCGGGTGGCATAGGAAAATCACTTCCAGGCTTTGAAATTGCATCTAAGAATATGCGAGAATCATTTGCACTTCCTTCCCAACCTGCATGTACGAATGTAAACATCATGTCATGCGAGCAAACTGCCATGACATTTTGGGTCAACATTCCTCCTTTTCTACCTCGGAATGTGCTTTGCTTTGATGCAGGTACCCAAGCTGCGACATGTGTTCCATCTATAGCACCTATACATTTCTATCACCAAGATTGTAAAATATTCGTATTAGATATTTTACATAAATAATTATATTAATTTTATTAAAGTTATGTACAACTACCAACCATACCTCAAAATAAGGATACCATTTGGGATTTGCTAAAATTTCTGGTTGCACCGGTCCTCTATTCACGTGCTTGATGATTTCATTTCCCAATCGTACAAGTGCACGTATGACACGCTTCACACATTTATGTACAGTTCTAGTGGAGTGTTGAAACCGCTCAGCAATTATACGTTGTGAACTTCTATGCGTTAGAGCTAGGAGACCCATTGCTAATTGCTCCTCCAGTGATATATGTCTTGTATCTTTTAACGCATCCAACCCCTTCAATCTATCACATAACTTTTCGTACACAAGGGGCACCATCCTAAAAAATTCATAACACCTAGTAGGATTTCCATGCAAGAGTTCATTTATGTAATCTTTACCTGAAAGGATTGAGGTCCTACATGGAGTCCTTTCTACATCGTCCATCAATAAGCATGCAGCAATAATGATAAGTACTAGTGCATAATCTTCTTCATCACTGTCACTAGAGCTATTAGAACTATAACCTTGTTCTGACAGTATCCCTGCAATATGAAGTGTAATACACGTGTGAAAACAAAAATAGTCTTGACATTTAAAACTTAAATAAGTGTTATTACAGACATAGTCATCAATTAGCAAATTAAGGAGGTCACAAAGTCCTAAGCAGTAACAAGAACAACAACAACATATAAGATCAACATATTCAAATGAAAGATAACACCCAGTCACGTTGCCATTCAGGTCGTCGCATTTCTAGGAACGCTTCACGAATGTCAGGATTTGCCCACTGCTGGATACATGCATTAACGGCTTTAGAGGGAATGTCACCCATGTTGTTCAATATCTCCATACACGCTTTCATACTGTATGGGTTACCCACTGCCGCCGTACTCATCATACTTGCATCTTCTCTAGCTTTTCGACGGATTTGTTTTGAAGAAATACTCATACTAATAGTATCCAATGCATTGCCAAACTGTTCCTGCAATTTCTTGGCACTGCTCTTCTTGGTGCTACCACCAATATTCAACAAATCATCCAGACTCCTTTTCCCTTTAGAACTGGTACCACCTTCAGTAAAAAATGATGATGGCTTAGCACTATGCAAGAACTCATCTTCATCATCGCGTTCCTCATCAGAGTTTGGTGGCCTTTGTGCGGAAGATTTGGCAAGACCTCCAGTAGCAACAGATCGGGCAAACACCTCAGCCATTAGCTCATAGTGTTTGCAACCATTTCGCTTAAAAGCCTTGAATTTAGAAGGATTCTTCTGTTTCAACCATAAATACATATATTATTAAAGTATACAATTGAATGAAATAATTCGGTATCATTATAAACTAATAGAACAAGAAGTTTCTTTTTCATACCGCGTAGAATTTATTCCATGTATCCTCACATGCGTGCACAGTGTTTGTAGATGGGTTGTATGTTACCCCGGTATGAGCAATCAACTCAGAAAACTGATTGTACAACATTTTCAGCCTATTCATCTTTCCTTTAAGTTTGAAGGGCCCGTAACATAACCCAGTGGCTTTTATCATCTCACGATCAATTTCTTGCCATTCTGAAGGCTTGAATGGAAGCTTTCCATCCACAGTTTTTTTGACTCTTTCATTTAAAATACTCAAAAATTGTACAACGGCCGTATCGGGCCATTTAGCCTCATCATCATTGGTTTCTGTGATGTTATTCATCTAAGCAAATGCAAATTCATTCAATTCATAACCAACAATTCTAGCTACCATATGTTATAATCATGAGATAAGCCAGTTGATCAAAAAAGGATAATAGCTCTATTTCTCAAATAAACAAACTCAAGTACAGTAAAAAAAGAAGAAAAAAAAAAACAGATTTAGAAAGGACATTACCCTGGAACGTGGTGATGGGCACGATCCAACCGATGATTTTGGTGACTCCGTCTTTTGGGGTGAATAAGCTATGTTATAATCATGAGATAAGCCACCTGATCAAATCCAAGTTAGCAAAATCATGTAAATTTAAACCTAAATTCATGTAGAAACATTACTACTGTGTATTTTTATTAGTGATCTTATGCATTTTTGTCAATTGTGGTGTTAGGGTCAAACATTACTAACATGTAATACTGAACATCACATATAAGTTCACAGACAACGCTTGGCTATAATCTAGAATATGTGCTATACCTTATGAATATCATGTACATATATCACAACACACTCATGTAAATGTAAAATCTTTAATCCTTCTGCTAAATACAATCAATATATATCATAATATATAACTGTGTAAACTCGCACTACACTCACTGCTCATTGTTTTTAATACTTAGAACTATAATACATTACTCATTATTTGCCAAACTGTAGTTCTATGTCATGCTATATGCTACTTAATTCTATATCCACCATATTATATATATGAGAAGCTTACTAATTGCATTTATGATACTAAATTGTCATGTATAACAATGCAATTACATTCAAACTGCAAGTATATATGAATCCTCTGCATAGTCATGATATGCTACTGTATGCAATATAGATGCTCTCTGTTGCTGTTCATTTTATGTCTTGCGTGCTTCATTGTCAAACAATAAAATATTTGTATCGTTAATTCATGCATTTGTATCGTTAATTCATGCAGAAGACACACATGAAATAAAGATGTAGACGCACGCAGTGAATCATATCATGGACAATAATGATGTTACGTTTACATTTCACTCTATTCACACATTTCTCTCTACCATCCACTAGATGAACTACTGCTGGTGTATGTTTGGCAAATAATGTTAATCCCAATCACAATCCCAATCACAACCACCATCACCAACCATGCTAACACCAAAATTAGAATCACAATCGTTGTTGCCAAAAACAAAGTCAGGATCCCAACAATCTTTGCCTATATCAAAGCTAGCATCACAACCAACAATAAATGAAAGAAAGTGATATGGAATTGTAATAATAATTATACTGATTATAGTCCAACTTTACTAGGTATACACATTCTTGATAACTGTTATAAGTTTTTCTTAATAGTAAAAAAAATCATAATAACTCAATATTATTATTTTTTTTTTTAAAAAAGAGTGGTCCATCCCTCTCTTCCATTTCTCTCTGCACCATCAGATTCCTCTCTGCAAACACTTAAACTAAGCTAAAGCTCAAGCTACCCCTCCCTCATCATGCATTCTTCTTCTTCCTCGTTTTGCTCATAACTATTTTGACATTACTTTCTCCAGAATCCATTTGTTCCAACTTTACAGCCATGGATAAACAAAACTCTACCTACCTATCAACTCCGATCCTCTGGTTTGCACATTATTATATTATGCTAAATCTGAACCATCATATCCCATTAACATCTATTTAGTACTGGAGTATCTATCTATCAACTGTTCGATCTCACACACACATATATACCCACAAAAACATTATGTTTAAAGTTTCAGATCGCTGGCAAGATTCGATGTACATTCAGGAGCAAAAATTTTCAAGATCTGAAAATCTAACAACTATGGTAACCAAGCTAAAATTATCAAAATAAACATCAATAAATAGATTTCGAAAAAGAAAAAAAAAAAAAAAAAAAACAACAACAACAAAATTTACCTGGTAGCTCGGTCAGCAACACTTCGCTAACGGTCAGATGCACGGTGACATGAGGATTGGTCGGTGGGTGTGAGTCGCCGGTGGGTGTGAGTCGCAATAGACAGAAGCGCAGCTTGGCCGGTGGGTGTGAGTCGCAATAGACAGAAGAGCTGGTGGGTGTGAATCGCAATAGACAGAAGCGCAGTTGGAGAAGAAAGTAAAGTAGAGAGAAAGAGGGTAGGTGTGAAGGAGAAGACAAAAGTAATGAAGGAAAATGGAAGGTGGTTGGCTGACAAAGTAGAGAAGAAAGGAGAAAAGAGAGAATAAAAAGATCGCTGGCAGGATTCGATGTCCAATCTACTGTTCACGCGCATGTTTCCTATTTTGAAAACAAGTTTTTTTTTTTTTTGTTTTCTGATTCCTAGCAAAACACGGAAGATTGTTTTCAAATTTGGAAATGAGAAAAAACTATAGTAAACACATTGGGCTGTTTTCAATTTTCAATTCTTGGAAATTCTAGAAAATTTCCTGTTAGTAAACGCCCCCTATATGTTTTGTAATAGATTAGTTTTTGTCAAAGAAGGATTCATCATCGCCTTTGATTTCTTCCACATCAAACACATCATATGCAAGAGGCAACATGATTTTGGCATCCCTATAGTTTCTTGGCTGTCGGCACAATTTTTTTTTTAATAACATAACACGTTAGTTTTTTTTAACAAAAAACCGACGTGTTATGTTAATTTTTTTTAAAAATTAAATACATAAAACGTCAGTTATTTCGTAATAATCGACGTTGTAAGTTGTATTAATTAAATAAAAAATATATACGATGTCCGTTTTTATTTAACCGACGTGGCATGTTTACTATACAACGTCGCTTTTTAGCCGACGTTAAAGGCCCTAAATAGCCGACGTTAAATGCCTTCTGTGTAGTAGTGACCAAAGGTATTCCTGACTGCTCATTATCAGCTAGGAGTGTTCTTAAAGAAAGACTCAGGTGAGCAGCATTTTTTTTTAAAAACAACCCCCAAATGCCAATAAAAACCACCAAACAATATGCTATGCACACACCACTGATTATGTTCGCACACATCACCAACCAATAAACAAAATCATACTGTAATAGTAATAAACAATCCAACAACAAGCTGAATTCATACAAACGAAACCAACAAGAGCAAAACATTAAAAAAAAAAAAAGACAAGCAGCATCAATCTCTAGCATTAAAAAACTCAACCGAATGGATCATTAACCCAACTAATAAGTACAACACAAGACAACAAAGCCAACACACATTCACACGCACGTGTATACATTATGTTAACCAAGAACCACAAAAACAACCATTGAAAATAAAACACACACGCACACTAAACAGAAGAAACAACAAAAGAAAAAAACCATAAAAACCCATTAAAGACTAAAACCCCAAACAACCCAGACAATCTGAGACACCCTTTAATTAACCCATCCTAAAAACCCAAAAACCACCAAGATCACCACAGGCCGCCGGAAAACGCCACCCCTTCCCAAAGTAACGAAACAAAAAACAAAAAATTCAAGCACAACACTCCACTACTGCCGCCACCCTCATAAACCCGAAAAACACTCCCTGTCGCAGCGACATGCACACAGCTGGACCGGATACTCCATGATACCACGCCCACCCAACCACTCGGGCACGCCACGAAAAACGCACCCCCCCCCCAAATAACGACACACAAACTAAATACAGAAAACGTAACCCCCCCCCCCAACCAGCCACCACCGTTGCACAAACTAAATACAAAAAAATACTGCCTACCGTAGCCACCACACCCAAACCCAAACAGCTACCCATTGTCGCCCAGCCTTGCACCCGTCCAAAACCCCCATCGAAACCCTCCCTCAACCCTAAATACAGAAAATGAATCCCCCCCCCCCTAAACGAACCCGACAGTCGCCCAATCTCGCACCCGTCCAAAACCCCACATGAACCTTCCCCAACCCTAAGTACATGAAACGCCCAACGAACTCGAAAACATAATTACAAACAACCAAAAACACGAGAAACAAAAATTACATTGCACATCAGCGGGAGTCGACCCCCTTAGCCTCTTTTAATACCTAAGAGAAGAGCCTTTCTTGAAGCTACAAGCGTCTGCACGGCCGTAGGGGAGAGATACGGACGACATGGTGGGGTTGCGTGAAGTGGAAGAGTAAAAGTTTAGATGGAAAGGCTATTATGATCCGGCTACAACACTATTAAACGTACAAGGAAAATCAGAGAGAATCACGCAATTCAAAAAAATAAAGAATAAGGGTCAAATAGGCCACTCAACTGCACACAAAATTGCAATTAGGCCATTGAACTAAAAAAAAATGCAATTGAGCCATTGAACAACACAAAAACATGCAATTTAGTCCAAAAAGACATGTTTACATGATGTAGGAAGTTACCGATTTTAAAAATAATTATTTAAAATAATTTTTAATAATTAATTAATTAAAAAAAAAAACAAGAACTGCCTTCATTTCCATGGCCGGAGACGAAGGTCTCTTCGTCTCCATAGTCGGAGACGAAGGTCTTTGTCTCCATGGCTGGAGACGGAGTTCGTCTCCAGCCATGGAGACGAAGCCGGTCAGAGATGATTTTTTTCCGGCCGGCAGTTTCTATTTTTATTTTTTTATTATTTATATTGTAATTATTTATTTATTAAAAATTATTTTAAAAAATTATTTTTAAAATCGGTAACTTGCTACATCAGGTAAACATATCATTTTGGGCTAAATTGCATGTTTTTGTGTTGTTCAATGACTCAATTGCATTTTTTTTTTTGAGTTCATTGGCCTAATTGTAATTTGGTGTGCAGTTGAGTGACCTATTTGACCCTTATTCCAAAAAGTAATGATGCAACATGTAACAAATTACTAAACAATCCCTCTAATATCAAATGCAACACCAAAAACCAAAACAAATCAAAATAAATCAGAGCCCTTAAATGAAAATAATGAATGATTCAGATTAAATCTGGTGCGGTTAGGGTGTCCAGGTGCGGTTTAATCTGGGTCATTCATCTCGCTTAAATCAACGTCCAGGATTATCAAAATTAAAAAAAAAAAAAAAACGCGGTGGCAATTTTGTAATTTTTGCATCTAGGTTAAAATTAAGGTGAGCGGATCTGTGATTAATGTGCGTGAGTTTTGTATAAGATGCATGAGTTTTGTGCGTAAGGTGCATGAGGTTTGTGCTTAATGTGCGTGGGGTTGTGCTTAACGTGAGTAGTTGTTAAAACTTAAAGTCTGTGAGTTAATACTTAAAGTGCGTGGATTTTGTGCTTAATGTGCGTGAGGTTATGCTTAAT